ATACCCAATGTGAACAGGAAAATTTCTCAGATTTTCCCTAACCTCCTACCAGTTTTTCCAAAATTTCCTTCTGGTTTTTCCCCAAAATTTTGCTGTCGAGCGGGGGGGAGGTCGTCAGGATTTAACTATCATTTTCAACTATCGGAAATAGTAGTTGTATAGATCTTTGGCAGTCCCTCTCTCAACAACGGCCAAATACGACCCCCCCCCCCTTTATAGCCGTCCGTGAAACAAGAGAAATCAACTACCAAAAAATTTTTCTCAGACCAAATACGACCCCCTCCCCCACTCCCTCGCGGTCAAATACGACCTCCCTCGTCGTGATCATCACAACGATGGCGTGCCCCAGGGAGAGCCCATCCGGATTGACCCAAGCACACTGCTCGTGGTAAGCGTGCCACTTGATGCTGCTCCACCTCCACCTCAGATGAGGTGCGGGAAATCAGTTGACCTATAGGTTCCTATCCAAACACCCTGTCGAGGGCTCATATCTTTCATACATGGAAGGTGAACCCCTTCCCTTCAAATGCCGCATGAACCAAAGTACATTCGGACTTTGGCCTGCAGATAGGTGCATGGCGTACTTCGGAGACACTCTTGGCCTTGACAGCGTTGGTGGTAAAACTCCGAACTTCCGAACGGCACAACGAGGAGCGTAGGTGTTTGCTTATCGTTGCGTCAGTTTTCGGCGACAAACCGATTTCACTGTGATGATGTAATAGGAAGTGGTGTTGATCCAGTTCTTAAAAGGAATGCGTTCCCCGTCGTCTGGCCCACATGATCGGGGCGGATTCTGTCGCGCAGGGGTAACAGCTAGTGGTATCGATCATAATATCTCTCTGTTCACGGAATTCTCACAGTTTCCTCCTTGTCTTTACTCGTGGATAGCGAGGTGGAGCTCAAGATTACTGTATTAGGTGATTAGTTCACGAACTTCAACACAATATTTGGCTTTTATCACTCGATCGGCAATGTTTATCGATTTGTTTATTCAGATAGCGTATACGAATATGCTTATCAACGCCCACCGAGGCAATCTTGTCCCTTGTTTTCCACGGCTTTATCAATGCCCAATTTATTCCCATCTTTGAATGGAATCCACATAGGGTCTAGGGACTGAAGATAAATTTCTGGAGCTTGCTCTGAAGTACTGAATTATTGATCGGTGATAAATATTTTATCGGCTTCGAGAATGTCCGCCTTCAATGCAGAAGAATGCTAAAGTCGCGCCACAGGTCGGCTTGGTGGGGGCATTTCATTAGTTTCCATAAAAAATTGCCGATGACTCCTGTGGAGACTTGTGAATTCCTGTAAAGCTATGCAATAATATGAGCTTTTTTTACACTTGACAAGGGTCTACACGTCCTCCAAGGTGAAACATTAATTTAACAGGATTTGGCAAAAGAAACCAGTGAAAATGCAAAATGCCCCTCCCCTCGTCTCCTTTTCCGTTCCTGTGCGCTTTGATTGGGAACCATTTTGCCATATCAGATAGACAGATGATCCACGAAGCCAACCCCTCTGTTCCCACCCTCGTATCCTTCCAAATGTCATGGACCATCATTTCCTTGGTATACATATTATTCTATTCTACTTTCATTCATTAATAAATTCCACACGGCTACAGCGTAGTATCACGAGGTGCAATCCTAGTCACGATGCGCGAGATCGAAATTCGTCGGGGCACCTTTGTTATTCTTCCGCATTGGTTCTTTTTTTCTGCCAAAGCCCGGTCAGGTCTCGGGGTGGATAAAGGATAGGAAAAAACGAGGATAATTCATCGCTGTTGATCTTTTCTTAGAGGGCACGCATTCTACTTTCATTCAGAATCGTCAGTTCGGCCTTCGCGTCGGGCAAATCGGATTCTTGGGGCGATGTGGCCTATTTCGATTTGACTTGAGAGGGTTCGCCTAATGTTAGAGCACTGTGTTTTATTCATCAAAAAAATGTTGCGGTGGAAACTCATCGCTCCCACAGGAAAACAGAATTTTGAGTGGGCTTGGACGGGAGCCGATCCAGCGCGCGTATTACGCGTGTCTTTGCTACTACACCATTCTCTCCTAGGTGAATAGGGACAGCGGGCTAACATTACTACGCACTCAGGTCTGTGTAAACTTCTGAGTAAATGCCAAAAGCATGGGCGCAGTCAAATGGTTCATATTATGCCGAGCAATTTTCCCCTCATTTTCAAAATCCACATAGCTTTTCTTACCTTCACAAGTAGCATTCCGCGTGTACTTATTTCAGTCTCCCCTTTCATCACTGGACCTTGCAGCCACTCCGTTAGCAAAGTGACCATTGCGTTATCATTTCCCGTCTGGTATCACACCATTGCCAGTGCTAAACTTTGCACTTATGGTGAGATGGACTTTGATATCGTTATAGTTCGAATTAGCTCTGATAAGCACTCCTTCTATTTTTGGTGGGCATATGGCTGGAGGCGGTTGTAGCCCTGGGTTTGTTTCATTAAACAGCAGCAGCCATGACAGTATTTAGGTAACTCGTTAAAAAGAATAGGTTTGGGGAACTTTGTGAATCCTGACCCTAGCTCTTCAGTGGAGGAAAAAAGCGAGACTGTTTAGCTTTCCTATAATCCGATTTCATATGATTCTGTTTCTTACCGCGTCATTATTTGAGACCTCTAATCGAACCCTCAGGTGTTACCGCGAACATTCCATTCCACCTAGAGAAAACACTTCTTACAGAACCCTCATTTTCAGGGCGTTAAATATGCTACGAGTAGCTGCTCGACCAGCCGCCAGCCAACTATCGGCTCATGCCGAATGTCACACGCACATCGAGACTCCAGAAGAACGCGTCCGGCGCATCTGGCGAAATGCCGACGCTGTCGCCTTTGATGTCGACTTCGACCGTCTGCCAGGTACGGCAGGTCTTGATAGAGCATCATACCGATTTGGGATTTGAATTTCCAGGACGAGGCTATCGATGAGTTGGCCAACTTCCTAGGAGTCGGTGAGGCAGTGGCCAACGTCACGCGACAGGCCATGAATGGCAATGCCCGATTTCGGTGAGTAAGCTCTTGCGTGGGTTATGGGCCCCCGGAAACTCTTTTATCTCCGCTGCCAGATCGCTTCCTTTCACGACTTCCTCCCAG